CTCAGTGTATGAGGCATTCTTTTTGCTTTTGGAATTTCGTTATCCAGTAATGACAAACATAAGACTTCTTACGTTGGAACTTTAAAATTGGAGACTAACTTTCCCATGATTGGAATGTAACCAAAGTCCAACTTTGTCCACTGTAATTTATTAGTTCATTTTGGTTAACAATGGTTAGTATATGATATGTTGCCACCTCCTACACCTGCAAAATTCAGCAGTTAGAAACATTTGCTAAAATATCTTGAAGTATAATATAGCACTTGCTATTAGTTTATGACTGATTTTTAAAAACTATAACAAAAGCCTATTATAGTTCTGCTTATAAATTGTAGCAGTTTTGTTCACTTAACCCTTGTTAAATGGCTTTTCACTTATGGAAAGTATTTTTTTTTTCTAAATGGGTCTAACTTTAAAATAAATTCCAAAATTCCTAATGTGTCTAGTGGGAAAGAACCTGATTAACTCTGCATCTTTTAATACAGTATCCATTTAAAGTGGGGAATGAATAAGTCAGTATTGCTTGATGATATTTCTAGTCATTTATTTAACAAGTATTTACTGAACACGTAACTGTCTGCTATGTAGTATCTTAGGTTTTGAAATGCATTGTGAAGTAAAGCCAGATACTTGACCCTCATGGAATTTGCCTACTGACAAGACAAAGTAGGTATAATCATGGTAACAATAAAATTAAAACTCAGTAAATCCTAGAGGCACTGGGGTAGTCATAAGTGCTTATGGTAAGAATTTTTTTTTAAGATTTATTTATTTGTAGAGGAGAGTGATGGGGGTGGGGGCGGGCAACAAGAAAAAGGGAGAGATTTTTGGTTCACTCCACAATGGCTGTAAATGCCAGGGTTGGTCCAAGCTAAAAAAGATCCCGGAGTTCCATGTGAGTCTTCCACTTGGGTGGCAGGGACCCATGTACTTGCTTTCCCAGGCACATTAGCAGGGACCTAGATCTGAAAAGGAGCAGCCAGGACTCTAACCAGCACTCCAGTGTGGGATGTCTGCATTTCATGCAGCAGCTTAGCTCACTGTGCCACACGCGGCCTCTGTCATGGGGAATTTGTTACCATATCAGAGAGGCCAGCAAAGACTCCTGAGGAATGAGAGTTGAGCCGAAATTAAGGTCAGCAGATGTGAACAAGCTAACCTGGGAAGGCAGAGCATCCCCTGTCTGAGGAGAGGGCAGGTATGAATGTTTTCCATGAATGTGAGTATGGTGAGGACTAAAATAAGACCCCATGTGGCCATCCTAAACGCAGATGGAAACCACTGAAGACAATAGGCTAATCCTCCACCTAGTCCCAGTCGGGGCGCCGGATTCTGTCCTGGTTGCCCCCCTTCCAGGCCAGCTCTCTGCTATGGCCTGGGAGTGCAGTGGAGGATGGCCCAGGTGCTTGGGCCCTGCACCCCATGGGAGACCAGGAGAAGCACCTGGCTCCTGCCTTCAGATCAGCGTGGTGCGCCGGCCGCAGCGGCCAAACAGTAATTCATCCAAGATTGCTAAGAGGCCAAAAAGGGGCCCTGGGGAAGAAAGAAAAGACAAACATTGGGACCAGCACTGTGGCTTAACAGGTAGAGCCATCATCTGCAATGCTGGCAGCCCATATGGGCACTGGTTTCAGTTCTGGCTGCTCCACTTCCAATCCAGCTATCTGCTATGGCCTAGGAAAGCAGTAGAAGGTGGTCCGAGTGTTTGGGGCCCTGTAACCACCCAAGAGACCCGGAAGAACCTCCTGGCTTCAGATCAGCTCAGCTCCAGCTTTGCAGCCATTTGAGGAGTGAACCATTAGATGGAAGACCTCTCTCTGCATCTGCCTCTGCCTCTCTTTAACTCTGCCTTTCAAATTAATAAATAAATCTTTTTTAAAAAAGTTAGAGTTTGAAAGATAATTAGGAGATAAAATTAAGATTTAAGGATTCATTGTGAGATATTTAAGAGTTATCTAAAGCTTCAAGTTCAGGTGATGAACATGGGTTCAATTGTGAATTTGAGGTTATTGTGTACACATCTGAAAGAAATGCTAAGCAAACTACTTGCATATTTAGGGCTGGATCTGAAAGGAGAGATGTTAGCTAAAGGTAAAAATGTTTTGAGTCATCTTTATTTAGTTGGCAAATTAAAACAGTCTGCACACATAAGATCACTTAAGACTAAAAAGCATTTATTGTTAAATGAATTCGGGGTTGGGGGGTACGGGGCTGTGGCACAGCAGGTTAACACCCTGGCCTGAATGCCGGCGTCCCACATGGGTGCCCGTTCTAGTCCCGGCTGCTCCTCCTCTGATCCAGCTCTCTGCTATGGCCTGGGAAGGCAGTACAAGATGGCCCAAGTCCTTGGGCCCCTGCACCCACATGGGAGACCCAGAAGAAGCTCTTGGCTCCTGGCCTCGGATCGGCGCAGCTCCGGCCGTTGTGGCTAACTAGGGAGTGAACCAGCAGATGGAAGACCTCTTTCTCTCTCTGCCTCTCCTCTCTCTGTGTAACTCTTTCAAATAAATAAATAAATCTAAAATTTCTCTTTTTTTAATGTACGAGAATTCAGGGACTGCTCCATGAATTCATCAAAATTTTAAAGCTGGGTAGAGGTAGTTGAATCTTAAGACAGGATGATGGCTAAAGAGGAAAACCAGGAGGCTGTTCCATCATGGGAACCAAGAGGAGTGTGTTTCAAGGAAGAAGTGGTTAGCAGTATGAAATGCTACAAAGATTTCAGGTAAAATAAAGTCTTAAAAAAAATCCTTACTGGATTCAAGGATTTTGGGGAAGCCCCTGGTGTCCTTAGTGACAGCTTGTAGTGAACTGATGAGAATGAAATCCAGCTGGAATTGTGTGAGATGCAGACATGGAATAGTGAGCTTAGGCATCTCTTTCTAAAAGCTTGATTCTGAGGACTGTAAAACAGAGTCCTTGTATCACACTGTGTAGTGACGGTGTTTTCATTTGTCTTTGGTGAAAATGACTCAAGCATGTTTAGAAATCAGTGGGAAATAAATGCGTTTGAGAGAGAGGCAAATATGCTGAGGTAGAAGGATGATCTTGGTAATGTTCTAAGAAGGAAGAAGAGGAGGTGTCCCTAACCTCAGGTATGTGTAGAAGTGTTTCTTATACTGTAACCTTTCTGATAGAGGGTGGATGATACAAGTAAATCTGCACTCATAATAGTCAAAAGATGATGGTTCCTGGCTGATGTTTATTTTCTCCATGAAACTGGAATAGAGAGGAGGTGAAGCAGACAAAAGTTTAGGATAGTGGGCAAAAGTTTAAAATAACCATTGTAAATTGATGGACAAAATAGGATAGGATTTCTGGGAGGAGTGGATTTCCATTGGAGGTTAAATATGTTGAGTTTATAGTACATAGATTGTTTTGAGAGGATCCCTTGGCTATTGGAGGCATGGTCATAAAGAACTAGCAATGTTCTTTTGATTCAGTATTAAGGTTTTACTGACCAAGGGATAGAAGTTTAAGGTGTTGGTAGCTGTTGATTATTTACCTAAATTGGATAGGAGAAAAACTAAAAAGAGGAGGACAGATCATTGAAGAAATAGGATAGGGATCAGTGGACTGGTGGGCCTGATGAAGTCAAGCTGCTAGGAGAAGCTGTGATCACAGAGTGGAATATTTGAATTAATGGTTTTAGAAATGGAATTTCTTATGAGTGATGACAAGGTCGGCAGTGTGACGATGGAAGTGAGTGGCTGAGAGGGAACAGATGAGGTCATTAGAAAAGAAGTCAAGAAGTGATGATATAATATTGAATGGATTATCCAAGTAGACATGGAAGCCATCCAGAATGATGGAGAAAATTCATGATGGAAAGAAAGTGTAAGCTGGTGGCTAATATCTTCAGTGAAAAAGGAGGTGAATGATATTAAGGTGAAATATATTAAAGAAGAGGAAGAAAATGTGTTACAGCCAAATTCAAGTGCCTTGAAGAAACAGGATGATGTTGCTATTTTTATTGTTTAGCAAGAAGAATTCCAGGCACTCTTGTAAACATAGAAAACACCAAATAAATGCAGTATTTTAAGTCTCCTAATCCGTGGGAGCTCACAAGCTATAGAAAGAAAGAAAAAAAAAGGCAGCCACATTAGCAATTAGTGACAACAGAATAAGATAGATACTTTAATAACAACATATAAGTATATTGTGGAGTGAGTGGAATGTTTATCTCTGAACAAGTCATTCAGTTTTATAAGAAACACTAAATTGGAACTGAATTTTGTGTAGTCCCTAGAGTGGAGAGGGAAAGGACATCCCAGAAGTAATTATATTATGTATGACTCCTAACCATGATAGACAAAACAAACTCAGTGATGACATGGCGTTGTACTGAATACTGTACTGTTGCAACACATCGTTCTTTATATCTAGATTACTTACATGTTTTGGCCTATTAGTCCATTTTGTATTCTTTAGAGTTCTGCATTTGTTCTCTAATGAGATGATTTAAAGTGAGTGTGTATGTCTCTGCAGTCACACATGTACACAAATAATTATTCTAATGTTTGTAGAATTTTTTTTGAAATTAGGCTGGATGTAATTTATTAGAAACATTAAGTGCAGAGTGCTTCCTAAGTAAATGAAATTACTTTCACAAATTTCCTTTTGTCGATTCAAACACTCATTCAATAAATTATGTCTGTGCCATTAATGGCTCTTTGTAAGCAGCAAGGATACAAAGGTGAGTGTGACACTGATCTCAGGCGCTTCACAGTTTGTTATGTTGCAGCCCAGTGAGGTGTGCATGTGCCAGGAAAATACCTGTTACTGGGAACGCTGTGGCTTTTTAAAAAACTCATAACTCCTCTCAAGCCCTCTGACACATTTTTAGACTGTTGACTTATTCTTTTACTGTTTATGGAAGAAGTTTTGAATTCATCAAACTGTGAATAAAGTGTTAGTCTAAATCTGTGATGTTCAGACTCATTATAAAGTTCTTGTTCTTCGATGTAGTACCTTTCTAATTCTGGCTTTATTTCTCGAAGGTTGTGAAGATGAGAAAAGAAGTGAAGAGAATCCGAGTGTTGGTTATCCGAAAACTTGTCAGGAGTGTTGGCAGGCTGAAGTCAAAAAAGTTAGTAATTTAAAATAACTATCCTGTGACTAATAAAATGTCACAATTTGTTCTTATTCAGTATTTACAAAATTCGATGGTGGGATCTAGGAGAGTAATTAAATACCTTACTCACTGGGCACTTTGTGTTATGTAGAAATGATCTGAGTGAGATAGAATGCGCTGTGTCAGCATGTCCTTTTATGGTTTGGACCTTATTCACCTAAGATATTTGATGATGAATTATTCTGCTTTTTTTTTTTTTTTTCCAAATTCTCTATTTGGTCTTTTCAGAATGAAATTCCTTTGGGATTATTTATATTTTTTATGGTGTTGGAAGTTATTTTAAGATATTGATATAGCTTTAAAAATCGAGTAATATCACTTAAGATTTTTTAGCACTTTTTTCATTGACTTGCTAAGTAACTTGAAGTATTCAATACATTTTGGAAGTATTTATTTATCAGACTATTGTGTTCCATGTAATTTTTTGAAAAAAGTATTTTTGTATTGTCAGCATCAGTAGTATTAGTGGAAAAGATTTTTTTTTTATTTGACAGATAGAGTTAGACAGTGAGAGAGAGAGACAGAGAGAAAGGTCTTCCTTCCATTGGTTCACTCCCCAAATGGCCACTACAGCCGGAACTGCGCCAATCTGAAGCCAGGAGCCAGGTGCTTCCTCCTGGTCTCCCATGCGGGTGCAGGACCCAAGGACTTGGGCCATCCTCCACTGCCTTCCCGGGCCACAGCAGAGAGCTGGGCTGGAAGAGCAGCAACCAGGACTAGAACCTGGTGCCCATATGGGATGCTTGTGCCTCAGGTGGAGGATTAACCAAGTGAGCCACGGCACCGGCCCCCTGTGGAAAAGTTTTTTATTTATAGTTCTTAGCATTTAAGTATGGATATTTTAGAAAATCTTTAAATGTGTTTTGTTTCTTATTAATTTCCTGTCACTTCATAAATGTTTTGAAAGATAGCCCCTTTCTGTGATATAATCAGATATTTAACATCCTCAGAGAGCAAATTTTCATTTAGTAAGATATCCATGCAACTTTTAATTTTGCTTATGTTATATGAAAGCTTATGTTATATGAAATACAGTGTATGATTCATTGAGAAAAAGTGTTGCTGACCTTCCCATTAAGGGGCTAGGGAATGCAGAATTTTAGTGCTAATAGCCATCAGTGCGGTGCCAGCTAAATGCTTACCTTTTGCAGTTCTAGGCAGTTGGATTTGTTTTGGAAATCGAGGTGCAGTTGCAGAGGGTAGTGCAGGATGGTGGGGTGTTTGTTCTTTAGACATTTATTATACTTTTCTAAATGAGATGAAAACCTTCATTGCAATTGGAGTCTAAAATTGATACTTTGCCCAGCTACATATTGTAATGTATTTCCTGCAGGGGTAGCGAAGATGCACTCTTGAAAAACCAAAGACGAGCACAGCGATTGCTTGAAGAAATCCATGCCATGAAAGTAAGTGTGTCTGCCTGTGTGTGTATGTTATTACTTACTTGAATATTCCTGAGAGCTGCCCACGACTGGTAAAGAATGTAGCAAGCATGCTTAGAAAATTGTAATATGGTTAAGCTTGCTTTTTTTCCATGTTTTTAACTGAACTTCTTAAAGTGCTAGACCAATTTAAGTTAAAACTCTGCCAAGCTAAACTCATCTATGTTTAATAACGCCTCATGCCTAAGATTTTTATTTTTACTGTAACTTTAGGCATGAAGTCTAAATTAAGTTCAAGAATTAAGATGTTCACGTTATTTGGGAATGTGGATGGGGTGATATTGGTGGCTGACATCATGCTTTGCCTATTGCCAACTCAATAAATTTTTATGTGGTGGTGTCAGCATTTTATTCAGTTCTGTAGTAACTTAAAATAAAACAAAATTAGTGTTGCGCCAACGAGATCCAAATTTTTCTTTTCTTCAGCCAGACTCTTCACTAGCATAATTTTTAGGTCTTCTCACTGCTGTTACTTTGTGGAAACTTTCATTTACCAAATGACATACCATTAAATGTCTGGAAGACTGTTTTATTGCAGAACTTAAAAAACAACATTTGGTACCAGCAATTATCTTAAATGCAGGGTCATTTTGCACATATGTTTGACTATTATGTTTTGGTATAACTTCGAAGTTTTGAGTTAGATAAAAGAGGAGAATTCTCTAACAATTTTAATTGAACTAGATTATCAAAGCTTCTCATACTAGTTTCTAACTTTTACAGGAAGTTGATAAAGTAATTGACAGGACAAAGTTATCTCCGTTGATTTGAATGAAAATAGATGAATGAAATGCCTTTTGGATGTGGAATGTGTTTTATATTTGTTCCTTCTGTATGTCTCACCTCCTCTGATAAGACTCCAAAGTTCATGTACTGCTAGTGATGCATCTTTTGTATTCTCAAAATTATAATCTCCCTTTTATCCAGTCATTCATGAAGAAAAAAATGCTGTATATTTGATTTTTCATTGTTACTTGTTTCCCTTTTGCTAGCATATTTAGAATTTTTTAATGTAACTTTTTCCTCATGATATTCCTATGAGAAATCAAATCTTAAGGGACTTTAGCTTAGAAGATAGCATTACTTATTTTCATCTCTTTCACTATCTCTTAACCAAGATCCTTAAGGAATTACATTACCTAGCTAAATTTTTCCCTATAATTGTTCAAAGTCATTTTTGTATTAACATTATTCAGAGGCCATGAGCTACTATGTAATTGCTGGTTTTATTTTAACAATGGAAAGAATGCAGTGTATCTAATAAGCTTATATGTAGTTTGTGAAGAGTTTAAGCATAAAAGGTACTCATTAATCTTTGAAATACTTCCCTTTTGTAACCCTCAATAACAAATTTGATTTAGTAAATTAGCAAGGCCTGTCCAAGCTATATGTAAAGCATGTTTTCTGTTCTTAATGAGCAAAAGGAAATCACATTTAATGATTAAAGTTCATAAGCTTATAAGATTATTGTGCCATTAGCCTAATTTCTTTGTTTATTTTTTTTTGTTTTTTGGTTTGTTTGTGTTTTTTTGCTTGTATACTTTTCCCTGTGATTATAGAAGGCCGCTGTGGAATTATTGCCTCAGAGAAAGCTAAAATATATAGTCTGAATATTCTTTGAATTCATAAAATATATAGTATATGTGTTCCTTGAATTTGTGACAGTGGTTACAGTGGTCTAGGTTGGGTAGTATGACTTCAGCGTCTTTTGTAATCTCATTTAAAGCGGAATTCAATTTAAATATAAAAACCAGAATATAAAGGGAACTAGGAAGACTGTATGTTTACTTTTCTTAAGTGGCAAATTTCATTCCATATTGATGGTTTGGTTTTTTTTTTCCCCACAAAATTGTTTTTTTTGCTAAAAGAAGTAAATATATATAGCATTACTCTTAACTGAAAGGTTATTTACCGTTTTCTAGGGAAGTGTTTATCATATATGTGGGAGTATCAAAGAAATAGTTACAAAACAGTCGACTGACAGTCTTAATTAAATTTGGAGAAAAAGCTCTACTTATTCATTTTTTTCTCTGGAGGAATTTTTCCTTTGGCTCATATACCACTGGATTTTTATAGTCTTATTCATGACATACTGTCCTATACTTGCTGTCTATGATAATAGGGTATTTTGTTACAAGATGACATGAAGAAAACCTGAGATATTTTTAGAAATGAGAGTTTGTTTTTCCTGGCCAAGAAAGAAAAATGACCTGATCTTTATGATACTATAAAATCATGGGTTCTAATTTTATAGACTGTGATGTATGAATCCCAAGTCTTTGATGCCTTTAGTATTCCTAGTTGTAACTTTGATATTAATATAAATGCTGGTTTCTGACACAATTTATTTCTCTTTGAAAGCTAAATAATTTATCAGCATTTGCAGATTCCTAGCTGGAGAAAGAGATTATAAAATTAAAGCACACACTGAAATGACTCAAAATGTGGAAGAAATCCCTTCCTCCATATTGAAGGTAATAAGTAGCTTTTACTGAGCCTTTACTGTGGGCCAGATACCATATTCTGTGTTTAAACTCACATTCTCGTGAGCTAAATATCCTCATTATCTCTTCTTATAGAATAGGAAACTGGAACTTAGGGAAGTTAAGCAGCTTGCCCAAGGACAAGTAATTAAGTGGAGACTCCTGAACTGAACATAGAGCTAATGGTGTTAGCTCTTCACTGTCCTGCCTCAGGAAGACAAGATTCACTCTTCTGAAGACTGGATGAGATCATTTAACAGGCATGATACCTGCCCTCTAGAGGAAAAATGGCCCAGATGTGTGATTTGCTCTCTGATCCTTTAATTCCTCATAGCTAAGCATAGTTACCTGTGTCTCTTTCTTCTTTTTACAATATTTCAGTTTATATATGCTTTTTAAAATTTACTGAAGAGTGTGTGTGTGCATAATTTCACATTCTGTGATTTGGCTAAGTTTTTTCTGTGAATGCTTGAAAAGAAAATCTCCATAGGATTAATAAAAGATGTGTTATTATATCCTTTAAGTATACTGTGTTAATTAGCTGTGTCAAATTAACATTTCATTCACTTACTCTACCAATTAGTTGTGTTAAATGTATTACTAATCTTTAACTATAATTGCTTCTGACAGTTTTTTATTTGTGAATCGATACAAAGGATCATATTTTCAAGTCAGACTGATAGTGATACCTGGAATGCTGCCTTATTAATAATTTGAAAGGTACAAGCAGTCAGAAAGCACGGATGAGTCAGGTTGAGATCTGGGACTGATTCCCAGCCTACTCTTTCCACATCAGACATGTACTTGTGGCCCAGAGAGCTTCCAGATGAGGAAGTCTGGTCCTTACTGCATGGCAGGGGAGTGTTTAGCTTTCCAAACTCTCCATCCCATAGCCCTAGGTTTGGTCCCTTACTTGCTGATGTCTGGAGTGCCGTGCTTCAGAAATCCCTAGATTCGCAGTGTGCCATGTGCCTGCCCCTTGGAGCATCTACTAGGGGCATACTTCAGCTCAGGCCCTTTTGCCGACTGCCAGGAGGGCTCTGGTGGGCCTGGTAGCGAGCGGATTAGACTGCATCACCTCCCTTGCCCCGAGGCCCCTTCTGGCTCCTTCAGCTCCCAGGAAGGCTGCCTGAACCCTTCCTTCCTAGATCTGCAATAGTCTTTTACCCTCCCCCCCCTTCTTTTTTTTTTAAGTTTCATAAGCTTTAATAATAATACTGCCTTTATGTTTTTCCTACAAATGTTTTGGAAAGTATTGCAGACCTGTAGAAAAGCTGTAATATAAAAATAATGATGCATCATGTCACTGTGATGCCGACTCTCGGTCACTTGCACGAAATGGTGCCCTTGGATTTCTCCATTGTTGAGGTACCTTTTGCCATTTGTAATTATTTAGAATCTGTGAAAAGATTCTTTGAGGAGACTGAGCATCCTGTGGTCTTTCTCACAGTGATTGATGTTCCACTAAGACATTCTTGCTCTGTTTCCCTGCAGGAATTATTTTTTTGGTGAGACTCTCATTCATTAGGAGGAATTTTATTTTTTAAGCATCATTGAAATAGGTGATGATAGCCATTTTTTGCCCATGGAGAAGACAAAGGTTCTTTTTCCATTGTTTCTCATATGTTGGGTAATTATGGATTGTACCCTGGTCTTTGTGAAGATTGAGTTGTAGAGATTCTGGATGTGGTAAATTTTCCCTAGAAAAAGTTTTTTTTTTTTTTTTTTCATTAATTTTCTTGGCTAGGCTTTAAATCTGTCTCAGTTTACGTCCTTTGTCTTTGTTGTGTGTTTTTTTTTTTTTTTTTTGACAGGCAGAGTGGACAGTGAGAGAGAGAGACAGAGAGAAAGGTCTTCCATTGCCGTTGGTTCACCCTCCAATGGCCGCCGCGGCCAGCACACCACGCTGATCCGATGGCAGAAGCCAGGTGCTTCTCCTGGTCTCCCATGGGGTGCAGGGCCCAAGCACTTGGGCCATCCTCCACTGCACTCCCTGGCCACAGCAGAGGGCTGGCCTGGAAGAGGGGCAACCAGGACAGAATCCAGTGCCCTGACCGGGACTAGAACCCGGTGTGCCGGCACCACAAGGCGGAGGATTAGCCTAGTGAGCCGCAGCGCCGGCCACGTCCTTTGTCTTTTGGTAAGGTGCTGTGAACCTGTTCCCTGCAGGAGCACTTCAGGTCTAGAGATCCCCACCCTGCTTTCCTTCTGGGTGTCCCCTGCTCGCTCAGGGGACGGGGTATCCCGGTCTCAGTCTTCCAGCACCTCTGCCACTGCTCCTGACCCTCGCTGTTGGCCTCAGGCTGAACTCTGAAAAGCTGGAGGAAGCCTGTGTAGTTTTCCATCGTCCTCACTCCTTTGAGCTTGTGCTCCCTCACAGTTTCTGTGCTTCCGTTTCATCTCCAGGGCCCTCAGACAGGGCTTTTTCTGTAGTGTGACCCTGTTTGACGGTCTTCAGTTGAGAAGTGAGTAATCGTGTTA